CGTGTGTTTCCTCGACTATAGTAATGCTTTTAACTGTGTTGACAGGAGCAGACTTTTGTCTCTACTCCAAGGTGCTGGATTGTCCAATGATACTCTCTCTCTACTCCAAGATTATTTTGCTGGCAGAACGCAATTCACAAAGTTTCTTGGAAAAACCTCTAACTCCCTACCGGTCAACTCAGGGGTGCTCCAGGGAGCAATTCTGCCCCCCTTTCTTTTCTCTTTCTATATTCGTGACCTTCCCACTAACCCAAATGATCTTCTTATTAAGTATGCTGAATAAGTCACAACAGGTTCCAAATTCCAAGGTGATTTCCGCTTCTCACATCTTCAAACCAGTTTATCTGCTTTAAACTTACGGTCTTCATCTTCCAAGTTATCTCTCAATGCATCTAAATGTAGCGATGCCACCTTTTCGCTCGTCAAAGGAGAACGGCTACATTCTTTTGAAAGAAGTTGTTCTGCGCTCTATGTTGACAACCAGCCTGTTCCCTCAGTAAACTCTCTACAATACCTCGGTGTCACTATCTGCCGAGATCTCACCTGGACCTCACATTTAACTTCTACTTTTGTAAAGAATCGACGGTTGTTTCTTTATTACCCGCTTGCGTTCTTCGAAAGTTCCATTGTATTTGCTAACCCAATTCGTATATTCTTGTATTGGTACTCATCTTCTCTACTGCTCCCCAGTTTTATTTGCCGGTCTTGGAGCTAAAGATTACACAATTCTACGCCGGTCTATTAAAATTATTTCTCGCACAAGCGGTATTCCTTATTTGCACTTGCTTAACTTTATCGCTGATAAACATTTTACCTCTTGCGATAACTTCTGCAACAATATTCTGTCAGACACCACTCACCCATTACACACAGAACTTAAACAATGCATATCCACTTCCGTCACAAGATGTCGTTATAAACTGGTGTACGCTCGTACCACTGCCTATCGTTTGTTCGTCATCCACTATCTTTCGAGATTTCTGGCTCAAAAGGCATCCGTTAGATAAGACTTTTTGAAATTCCTGATGTTCATTTTCAAACTTTTTACTACACATTTCTGTGAATTGATGATGCTTTTTTCTCACTTTTTTGTGACTGTATGCGACGATAAATGTTCCTGGAGTGCAAGAAGCTGAGGATCCATCCATTAGGATGAATAAAGCGATTTTTGACTTGACTTGACTACAGACGTCAATGCGATGGGATGAAAACGTTTTGCAAGAACAGTTGAGGATGAGGTTGTTGGAACAGATATTATGGTCACTGGTCGCCAGGAATCGAGGATCATCTGTGCAGAAAGGGATTCGTTGATGAGGGATGTCATCATATTAGTTAGAGGGGCTGCTCCAAACTTGAGAAATGCTGGAGAAAGACCATCAGGGCCCGCAGATGACGAAGGAACGTAGAAGCTTAAAAATTTCATCATTAGAAACAGGGAACAGATCAGAATGGGAAGTTTTACATGGGAAAGAGGGTATCTGGGTATCGTTAGACGGATAAAGAAATGCAACGTTAAGACTATTTACATCAACATCACTGTTCACGTGTTTCCTTTTTGTCCGCAGAGAAGACAAATTCCTTGCCACAGAAACCTTGTGTTTTTCGTTTACAGGATTTGGGAAGCGAACGTCTTGTTTAAACTTGTAATCTCAGCCTTAATTAAGTTAGAATAGTACTTTACAGCAGATGGATGGTGAGATTTATAGGATCGTTCATTTAGCCTTCGTAGTGAGTTCAAGCGAGGAGATGCAATTTCGCCGTTGCAAACAAACAGCGTTTCCATGGGACAGCAAAAATGGAAAATCGATTTCATCGTTTCGGTGAAAAGACTGGCACAGTTAAGAAGTGATAAAAAAGAAGCAGACCAAGATTGGGCAACTGTTATGGAACGACAGAGAAGAGAAATGCGGGTTGATGAAAAGTTATGGAAATGAAATCTTATCTAGTTTGATCGTATGAATGTTGGATATGCAGAGCGAGAGTATATCTTTGGTCTTAAGAGGAGAACATAATGATCACTGGTAGCGACTGGGGCCATCAGTTTGAGCGAAGACAAAGTAGGATGGTTTATGATTACCCGGTCAAGTATAGAGCTGCCTCTGGCAGGAGAATGAGACAAACCAGACAAGCCAAAAGAAAGCAGGGGGCAAGTGCTTGCTTGGATGGTTGAAGTCACCAACAACCAAATGAAGATTCTCATCTAATATTGGAACAAAAAAGGGATGTAATGATCAAAGAAAGATGCATCTGATGGGGAGCACGAAGGAGATATATACATATTAGTAATACTTGTACTTTTATATCGAGAAAATCTGGGATGACAACGAACGGATAAACAGTCAATGGATTTTTCAGAATAGCTGAAAATCACCTGAGACTTGCTACACCAAGAAGTGTTGATGTAAGTTGCCACACCGCCTCCAGTTTTCTTCCTGCTATGTTGTCTATCCTGCCGGTAACAGTTGAAACGATCTATCTGCACGCGAGCATCCTCATCGTTTTGATTTATCCAAGTTTCTTGTATGCTTACGACACATTTGCTGGGATGTATGCGTGTGTTCAGTGGGGAAGTTAAGTTCGAGATCTTTGGGAAGAGGGAGCGTACGACGGTACTGACCAATGACGGCATGGTCATCTTGGCAGGAGGGATGCTATTAAGCGCACAATGCCATCCAGCACGCTTGATTCAAGTATGATTGCCAAATTCTTGAAGCATATTATTTGTGTGAAGCACAGAATTAACAGATTTCAATTTAAGCTTATCCTGACGAGAGTAGGTATAGGTCCGAAACATGTTTGACATCGAGATAATCATAAAATCCAGTGAGACGACGAGCACACAAAACGTAGCGCAGCCAATCGAAGGGCGTGCGGTGTAATCGGATGATTGCCGTTAGAAAGGCACATTGGAAAAGGAACACCATTTTTAGTTACTGTTGCCCAATCCACTATATCTGATCACTGGATAACGCAGAATTTTATCGACATCATTGGTTATCCTCTCTCTTCTTTCATAAATGTGCATCTGGTTGTGTTGGGAGACTCGGTCATCAATCAGGTACCCAAACAAATCCAACAGCGCCTGACAGAAACCTGCAATAATTTTAACGGGTGAGAGGGGGCATTAGACTGTGTTCACCGTACCAAGAGCTAACCGAATATCCGGAAAATGAACAAACAAACAAACTAGAACACATGAATACTTTACTTTTTTCAGTTGCCCTAAAGTATACTGATCAAGAATGCACAGAATTTCACAGGCAACCCAGTTTCCGACACGCTTTCATCAGAATATGATCCTCAATAGTCTGTGCGGATGATCCCGAGAGATGCGTTCGGGATCACTGATAAATAAATTTATGACCCCGCTTCAGGTTACCGCCTGCGCACTGACACATAACACATTGACTGTTTTCACCAGTGCAGATGCATAGATTCCATGGGACTAAGCACCACCGTTGTTCCTAATGTTTTGATCATGGTGCATACTTCCCCCCAGTCTGATTCCTACTCTTTCGCAATATGGCACAACAACAAAACCATTTGAGATCGCCATGAGACATCGGTTTATGTGTGCATCGATTCTCCACCCCATGCTTACAGATGAAGCTCAAAAAGCTGAGGCGGAAAAAATGCTCTATGCAATTGAAAGATATCGTCACGATCGCCTCGTCGCTCGGGCTTCAGAGGCATTCACTCACGGACTGGGTGAACCGGACCCAAAAGTGCGGCTGATGCTTGCTCTGTCCATGCTGAATTTCGTTCTGGAACGGCGAGGAAAGGTGAGTTTGAGAAAACCAGTCTTCTTTTGAATAAGATATTTGTTGGGAAACGAGCAATCTTGGAAACCCCCTGATCGTTTATGTTATCTACCCAACCTATCAGCTGATCAGAAGAGTTCTATACACTTGTGTGATGCACAGGCCTAGATATGCCAAGTAAATCCCAATCACGTCGCTACAGTGCAGGAACGTACTCCTTGATGGGTAGATGAGTTTATTCCAGTACCGCCTTCCATTAGGACGTCTAAGCACAATCTTATTTTCGTGAATGTCTTCTTTTTCGCTCTGCGTCACTGTGCGAGATATGTGGTTTTAGGCAATTGTTTTTAGACTGATTGATTCAGCCGGGTCAGTGATTCGGCAAATAGCTAGAGAAGATACTAGTTCAACAACGTATGGTCCACATCATTCTTTATACAATATTTTAGGGATCCCGGGGATGGTACATTCTCATGCACTCAAACCACTTGGTTATATATACGAGGGCTGAGGCAAAGGTTCCGGATACACAGTACCTGTACGAGGTGCAGATGACCGGGCAAGGAAAACGTAAACTGTAATCTATGGTAAATATTCATTGTTCAATGTTTCCAACTCATACAGAACCATTTACCAACGGCCGAGCACAGCTCACAAGTCATAAGGGCCGCTGTACGCGAAGTGTAACGATGGAGTTCAATCGATGTCATTGGAGGACGATGAGTTTCAACGATTACACCTGTGGTTTGAAGTAGCAGTGGCAGCAGTGTGTTGATCGTTTGCGGGCTGCCTTTATTGATGGCGCGCTTTCAAGAAGCTCTGCGTGGAATCAGATACGACTTACCAACAGCCTCAGTGGAGGCCTTTATTGAACTTGTCGAAGGGTTACCCGCTTAGCCATGGTCGATCTGAATCATCAAATGGTTTGAGCGCATAGAACTGTGCATGGACGCTTATGGAGAATATGTATGTTGAGAAAAGGTGACGCTTATTTTTGTGCAACAAATAAAACTTTTTGTGCATCTGGAAACATTTTGCTCAGCCCTCGTATATATTAGAACACAAATTGACAAACAAGCCTATTTTCAGTGCATCTTAATAATGCAATTACAACGCAATATACAAGATTAGTAACAGAAAATGAATTACGAAGGAAAAGGTAAAGCAATTATGTTTAATTATATATTATGTATCATTTATTTATATATTTATTATTACTTTTATATACAGCATATTATGAGATATGCATAACGCCAACTGCTGTGGGGTACAGAATTTCCTTCGAAAGTTGGAAATAGCCGGAAAAAACCCTCGTACGGAGGAACATGAATTGATTATCTTACCTCCATCATTTTATCTGATTAAGTCAACTGGCAAGTGATATCTGAGAGAAAAAAGTGGCGATCGTGCAACGAATATGCATGCACCATGATAAAGCCTTCAGGTAGCCACACGGGACTTGAAGTTCACGGCCAGTCTTGTGATCTCAAACAGAATGAACTGGGATTGGCGGAATGCAAGAAACGATCTAGGAGACCTGAATCAGGGCCACATTACCATCAAGCCTGCAAGCTGTATCGGGCCAAATCAAAGCGATATGAACAAGGGCAACCCGGTTGCTCATGCAAACATCCATCTTATATTGGCTAAGCTAAGTTGTAACAAGTCCGGAGGTCCTGATGGAGTTATACCTGTTTTCCTAATAGAATGTGTTACCTCCTTCTCGGCTGTGTGGTGTGAACGTTTGAATCATTGTCCTTCGCAGCAAAGTATTCCCAACGACTGGAGTGTAGCCTTAATCATTGCAGTATCTATTGTCTATGTTTTGTGCCCTGGATCGATTTGTGGTCCTATTCATCTCTCGAGGTGTTTTGTTTTTGCTTGGGTTTTGTCCCGCTGACTTCATGCGTTCCCTGTTATCAGCCCCCACCTATTTATCGCGGACTGCAAACTCATCTCCCGATCACCCAGGTTTCAATCAGTATATAGTCATAAAAACTCGGGAACATTTGGCCAAAGTCAAAGTTTTATTATGGGAATTAGTTACGAGTACATGCCTCTCTTGTCTCCATAGGATATTTAAACATTTGAATTGTTTCTCGTCGAAGAACTTCAATTGGCACACTAAGTTCTGGGTAGGAGATAACAGATAATGTAATCTTCAACAAATTTGCGCTTATTTTTAGTTGTATAGGAATGTGAGGTGTACCAGGGTTTCAAGGGATCTCCGCTTTAAAGATTTGATAGTCGACGAGATAGAAGGGTGTTCCAAGTACTGCACACTCTGATTGCAAAAGATTGGCACCGGCATTCCAGTCGACACTTTGGAATCAGTAATTTGAAACGATGTCCCCTAAGGTGTATGTTGGGCGAATATGTCAGCGGCTGCCTACGTGGATCGTTTGGGTTCTGTACTATTTGATACGCCAAAATCAAGCCTCCCCGAATTCGGCGGTACTGAGCAGAATATAGTCCCAATGATCGTAATCTCTTCTCATAGGTGAGGAAATGCAATCACTTGACCATCTTGGTGGCCATCCTTTGTGGACGCTCCAGCATCTTACGATGACGTTGTAACCATGGGCTTCAAGCTTGGAGGGCGTACTCGGTGTACTGTTGAATGTACACTGACAGCAAACTTAGGAACAGTGCTGATTCAAACCGACCAAAGACTCGTCCAAGCAAGCCAACATTCTGCACAACAGCGGATGAAGCCTTGGCGCAACTGATCGAGCAGCTGAAGTACTCTTGAACAATTATACCCAAGTTGTTTTCGCTCGAGGTATCTGGTAGCTGTTGATTCTCCAGTAAATACAAGAATCTCCTCCTGTGTCGCAGGGATAGAACTTTGCATTTAGAAGCATTGAATTCGATGTAATTCTCCTTAGACTGTTGATAAGCCGCATTAAGTGTTTCTTGAAGTGTTGGCGAGCCATCGCGTTCTGTTACTGTATTCCGGATTTTGGCGTCGTCTGCAAACAGTATTGTTTTGGGACCTAACACATTCGGTAGATCACTTATGAATGCGAGGAAAAGATGGGGACCGAGTACAGACCCTTGTGGAACACCGCGGGTGACGTTGATAGATCCGGATAGGGAATTCGAAACACGAACCGACATGGTCCGTTGTCGGAGGAATGCTCCAATCCAATAAAACATGAAATCTCGAACGCCGTAATTGTACAACTTCTGTAACAAAATTCGGTAATTCATCCTATCAAATGCTTTCGAGAAATCTAGATAAAATACATCCACCGCATCCCCTTCGTCGACTGTTCTAGTCCATTCATCTCAAACGAGAAGCAGGTTGGTGGAGCAGGGTCGCTTTTGCATGAACCCTTATTGAGCTGTCGAAAGAATGTTGTATCGTTCTAAGTGTTCCATCATAGAATCTGCCACAATTGACAGTATATATTTAGCACATTACCTCAAAGCCTGGTAAACATTCTCTCATTACCATAAAGATGTACGCAATGAGATTAACAGGCGTTTTGTTCTTCCTTATTCAGCTAGATTTTTTACCAACTCGCAACTCGTCGTATTTGACTTACGCATACCGTTAATTTAAATTGATCATTATTGCTATGGCTTCCCCGTTGATTCTCGGTTGTTCATTTATTTGTAACTATTTCAGCTATATTTTACATTTTGTGATGTACAGTAGTTCTATGATTACTGAATATTCACCAGTTGACATGCATACAGTAATTGCTTGACTTTATGTATGTGTTTCTTACACATCCCACCGTGTTTGTTGATTGTTCCTGTTTTTGTTCGTGCAGAGCTATCACTTCGTCGGTCTTGGACTAGCGACTGAATTTAGACAAGTTTTGTTTGTCAACAGTACTGCAAGAAAACTCCACATTGGCGCGACTAAATTTATGCAGAATAAAACCTGTCCGTGGAAAAAGACAATTCAGCTTTGTACAAACATTCCCCTGAAAGTACGACTAGGACAACGGCATTTGCAGGGGGTGGGGTGGAAAAAGACCGAAAAACTTCCAGCTGTTAACAACTACGACAAAACGTGTAGGGAGAAAGAGTCACAGACTGACGCCGGATTGAAAGCGTGCATCTGTGTGCACGATTGTATCGGAGAGTAGTATGATAGCACTAGTGGAACTGGTAGACTGAACATTTTCAAATGTTATCAATTTCTTCATCTAACCACAAACACTCTTTGATTTAGGCAGTTTCCCGCTCATCATTCCAACCTCACTGTCCGCTTCATTTTCAGGCATCTCAATATCTGGCTGAGGCAAAGGTGGCCAGCGGATTCTGCACTCCCCACCCACAACTAACTGCGGAAATCGAACTGATGACCAATGCACTTGAAGAACCCACCACAGCGTGCAAAGGAATCACAACAGCCACAAAAATTACCTAAATTCGAGAAGAACACACACACACACCGCTTCGCTAAAATCCTCCCTCCTATCTCCACCCACCCACCCGCGCTCCACTCTTTGCCTATGGCTTTCCAAAAGTAAAATAATCTATTTTTCTTGCCATGAACGTTGACCTTTGTGTCACAAGGATGAAGACTATTCTTAATCAGTCTATACGTTCTGTGTACATAAAAAAGGAAATTGAAACAAATATTGGACAAAAAAACAGCCTCTTTAGGGGACACCAAAGCGGTGTCTAGGTCTGAAAAGATTTTGGTTTGGCCCACTCTGATTCGTCCATTTGAAGTTACATGATAGTGACGAAATAAAGAAACGCACGTGTCGCATGCTATTCCGTTCTAGTTTTCAAATTTCACCGACTTCTATCGGGTACATACAAATCAGATCAGTCGGGTGAACAAACAATGGAATTCAGTGAATTATTTTAAGAATCAGTCAGTCCATCTATCTAATCCTGATTGACTTGTTGATAAACAATACCTTTCACGAAATCCTACTTGGTTGTTTGTGACGAGACCAGACAAGTCCCGGGGCTTGAAATGGGATATAAACCTAGTGTTAAACAGAAGAATAGGTCATTTCAATTGAATCCGGTTCTACTTTGAGCAATTCATTTCCAGTTTGCACATTCATATAGAATTGCTATTCCCTGCGCTGGGTCTACTGCTATCTTCCCGTTAGGAACTTGGTCGACTAAATAAAGAAGGTAGATCTCTGGGAGTGGTAGAAAACAAAAATACACAATGTGGATAGGATAGATGTGCATAGATCCAACTAACGCCACCGTATAAGGCCTTAGATCATGATCAAGCGTGACCCAGTGACGAACTGTAATTGAAATTAATCAGCTTAAAACGGCAGTTATACTGTTTTGCCAATCCCGCTGTTTGTGGCGAACCGGGTGTATCCCAGAAGATGAAAATAAAACTAATATGAACTTTGTCGAACCAAACGGGGTTCAGAACACATTTTTGTTTCGATGTGCGAGGTAGAAAATTACAACAGTCAGTTCGAATCGCTCTAAGTTCGGTAAACAAGAAGATGGAACAATGTCAGGATTAACTCACAAGCATATGTAGCTAACAATATGTTAGGCCCAGAGGCAGAATTCGGTTTTAGTTAGCCGCATTTGTTATTTGGTTTGACACAATCTATATTAGATTAGATTAGATTCGTCTCAACTGGTGGTTTGCTCCAGCTGCAACTAGCGTGATTTGCAATAAATTGATGAAGTGCCGCTTCCGGTCGATTCGTCTTGATTGCGGATTGGGGTCCGACCTACTCCACGTACATACAGGTTATCAGTGGCACATGTTCGTCACCTGAATGCAATGATCGTGCAAAAATAGACACTTCCTGCATATGCAAAACCTCAGCGTTTACCAAAGGATCGCAACTCATATGCCAATTTATCCCCCCTCCGTGCCAACCAACATGTTTGTTACAACCTCGGTTGTGCGAAAACAAGCCACAATTGCCATTTTATTGCAAGATGCGACTAATCGGAGTGGTTCGATTATCCGGAAATCGCAGAAGCATTTCATGCAGCTTATGGTGAAACAATTGACAATGCATACGTACACAGGGTGGGGAACGACATCTTTCATCTTTCTTCTGAATGATTAAGGCTGACGGATCCCAGTAACTCATTCACTATCGAATTTCAGTACCGTTACTCTACGTGGTCTTAAGCCGTTAAAGAAGTGAGGTTGATTATCATTGAGGGGCTCTCTAGTTGTGTCTGTAAACAGCTCATCAATCGATACGAGCCAATGACATCAACATGAGTAACCTCGATCGAATTTGACGGTTGTGCAGTTTCATGCACTTCCACCGTGAGAATGAGAGCGATTATCACACGGTTGCTACATAAACTATGAACAATGGATAGTACGCTGCCCGCCAGCCAAGCGGTACCAAATACCTGCAGAAATTCAATGTCAACCTCAATAAAATCATTCCAAGTCAAACGTTGCTGCCGTACCTTAGTTCTAATTGTGATGTTCCCACAGAAGGCATTAAAAACCGGAGTTGTCGCGGTGATCTCGCGTAGCACCCACCAATGCGCAAACTCACCTGGGAACCAGAAGAATCAGTGACCCAATTCTGGTGGACAGGACTGGAATGAGCGAGTGCGTGTGTGTGTGAACTGTTGTGCTGCGGTCACACTTGAGTCAAATGGTTTTCGGCCTATCCGTCACACGATGATGAACAGAACGCTCCTGATCGACTGAATGATCTTCAGGAGTCCATTCACGGACAAAATACATCTAATTCCCACTCACAAACTACCAGAACGAAACTTAGCATTAAAAAGAATGCAAGCTATGGCTTGTAAAAAACAAAGTTACTACNAGCCGAGACCAAAGTACTTTGGTCTCATCGGACGAGCCAGCCCTGGACACCACACACCTTGTGGTGGATGTACAAAATCGATTCACTCATAAGAGTCCCTGACGCTCCAGTAGCTGATCTCATAATCCCCTTAATAAAGGAAACTGATGGACCGGGACAGCCCATAATACCTGATGCACCGATTATCATTATCCTCGTCTCATATAACCTACCAAGGACAGTTAATTACAGGGCTTCCTGTAGTGTTTGAATCCTGGCTGCCGCGACCATGCAATGCAATACAATGACAACCATAGCGTTTTTATTACACACCGGTGTGATGAACAGCAGATGGGGCGGACCCCATAGTCACGAAGACCTGCTGTTCAATGATGGTAACCGGCAACCCGATCCCCGAGACTGAGTGGCGAACCATGTAAGGCCCTGATAGGTCAGGAGTGGTATAGAACCGGGTGACAGCAAAGCTATCTACTAGCAGCTTATGGTAGAGATCGCAAATTAACGGTCTCCAATTGGTACGATTATGAGTGAGCAGATAGATCGGCGTGAGTCTCGAATGGAATGAATTGGTAGGCTCGGTAAGACGTACGTGGATGTACTATTGTAAGGCGGCCGTGAATGATTCGACCTATCAAACATGTACAGAAAGTTAAGTCAAGTCAAGGAATGGCTTTATTCACCCCGAGAGGTGGATATTCAGCAACCACATAACCATAGTGCGTCAACAAACAGTGGGGAAAAAACAACCGCAGTATGATACAGTAATTAAAGGACAGCAACATCAAATCAATGGCATACCCAGGTGTATAGAATGGATTTAGTTTAACATTTGGAGCAGATTTCCTGCAACCAGTTCATGGTTTGTTAGAAATCTGGCTAGATAGGGGACAATAGTCCGCCTGTAAGCTTCAGTGCGTGTCTTTAAAAGTTTGTGAGTGGAACGGGTGGATGAGTGAGAAAGGCACTGACTGAGGGCGGAATAAAGAGAATGAGAGATACCAGATGAAATCTTGTTGGAGAATGTTTTACAGGACTTGAAGTGATGTGCAACCACATAATGCACTAGATGTTCTCGTGGTATGAGACTTCAAACTGACAGAAATTTGAAGGATCGGGAAATGAGTTTGAGGTCGTTGCTCAAAAGACCACGGAAGATAACAGGGGACCCATAAAGCCAGTGAGGCAAAACGCACGCAAAAACAAAACGCCTTATGAGATGGTTCGGAATGGAAAGCGATTTAAGACGTAAAACATAAAACATGAGCCTCGTGACCTTCAGAAAAACGTCATTGACGTGGTCAGATCAGGTGAGATTACGGTTGAAAATAACGCCCAGGTATTTGACAGACGGTTGTCGTTCCATCTGGTCACTGAGGATAGATAAAGGCGGGCTGGCGTTTGATAATTCATCATACTTTTGCCCTTTCAAAAAAAGAAAAAAATACTTCGTTACATTTTTTGGGGTTCATGCGGAGGTTCCTTTGTTGCGACCACTCAGCTAGTTCAGACATGTCTTCTTGTAGAGTCGTTTGAAATGATGAGTTGGGGTACGGCAGTCCGAATATCATATCGTCTGCATACTTGACAAGGAAATTTTTGGTTGTTAGGCCTCACGCCTAAGCATGCCAATCATGTTATCTACTCGTCCTGTTGTAACACGGTCTGCCACCCAGTCGGGTAGGAGTAGGTTAATTCTTGTTTAAACTTCACTCGATCAATGACAATGATTTTACTTCATTTTGAGACAGGATCGTGCTAAGCTATCATTTGTTTACCAGAATCTGTGTCCATCGACAAACCTCACTCTACGCACTGCAAGCAGTAACTTGCTGGCCTCCTAACCCAGAGATTATACAGCACAGAACTCATCGTTGATATTACACATACATATACCGGAAACTGAGAGCTTTCCAAGCGAGAAAACTCAGCGGACGATTGAAAATTGCACTGCTCTGTTTTGTAAGAAATCAAAGGACCGAAGAACATAGAAAACAATGTATTGATCAGTAATGTTTGGTTGACAAAAAGTTCACAGGGAAGTCAATGATATGTGGCGCTTTTACCGGGTACACATTCAAGATAATGCATTCACGGGATTGTAGACCGGTGTTTGAACAAATAACGACATGATTGGATCTGGGACGCCGGTGGCGATGAGAAATACCTATAAATGAGAAATAAACAAATACGTGAAAACTGCCACCGAATCAACTGAAACAAACACAAGGTGGTGAACAAGTTAGTTTTCAGATGGTTGTGATCGCGCCAAAAACATGAGATTAAACTCGACAAACAGAACGATAGTCGTGCGGGTTCAGATTAGATCCTGAGCGTGAAACTGATGCCCGGTATTGGTGGCTGATTGGGGAGTGCGTTCGAATCCCACCACCACCGCCCTTTGATTAACTGCTTCCCCTTCCAGAAAATTGCTTTATATATTCAACAAAAGGAAGCAAAACTGAAAAGGCAATAAGTGTCAAGTGGTTGTGCTCGTGCTGGAGGATGAAGGGGGCTCAAACAGTTTAAGCCCTAGCATAAAGAGCTCCAAATCACTCAAGATGAAGATGACCGTTTTCGTGACTTCGGTTGTGGAAAGAACAGATCACTGGACTGTTCTTGATTG